CCTGCGGTAGTGTAACCAATGGCTCATCGGAGCGACAAGGGACCCATTCCTAACATGTGGACAGACGCCGATGTGTGTTCTACCTCACAATAACAGTGGTTGATTAACATACACGCAAGGATTTCATACAGTACGCCTTCGTGCGTCTAGGCGACAGTGTGGACAAACCCGCACCTCAATAACGAATATGTGGGTTTGTTTGTTTAAGCATTATCAAACATTTCATTCGTTTGTCATTCAAATTTGAGAAGCTATTGCTAAAACCCCAGTGGAGGTTTCTGGGGAAAAAAAAATTCGAATTGGTGGCGCCCCGGCAGGGTTTGATTTAGCTTCCCGGGCTTTCCCGTGAGTACTATGGTACCTTTGTTCGTTTTAATAATTGCGAAACGCTATGAATATGATGAGCTACTATAATCGCTCACTATACCGAGTGAGGCGCCTTCCTACCTAGGCCCACCTACCTACATACCTAACTCCCTGCCTACTTACCTACCTATCTACTAACCTGGCTGCGCTGCTGCCTGCCTACCTACTTTTCTACCTGCCGTTATTCCTGCCAAACTGCTTTCCTTCCACTCCGCCTGTCTACCTACCTCACATCCTACTTACACACACATATGTTCGTCTGTATATATGTGTGTGCTAGTGTGCTCTAGGACTATACAATTTTGTTGTTAGGTAGAACTATTCAGTATAAAGGAGTTTCCTTTTGTTTTTTTTTGACGATGTAGCCGCTAAAATATTATTTTGTATGTGTGTACATAAAATAGTGTAGTTTTATTAATAAAAGTACATTTTGTTATGTATTTAAGTGTATATAATCATTTTCGTCAAGCCGATGTGTTCATAATCTTAAATTTAAAAACCCATGAAACTCGATAGCCAAAGATTTAAAACGAGAAATAATTTAAAAATTGCTATTTAATAAGAAACACCTATTCTAAGTATTATAATAATATTTTTAAAAATAAATATACAAAGAGATAGATTGATTAATTATATAATTAATTTAAAAAGTCAACTGTATTTCACAACGAAAATCAACACAAAATACATTCAAATAGAAACTGTCAAGGGAGGCTACTCTAATATTTGTAGGATTAATAGTTTTAATTAAGAGTTTTTTTAATTATTAGAAGAAAAGCTAATTTTGTAAGATCCATAAAAGAATAAAAGATTACCTGCATTTCAAAAAAGATATTCGATAGGTTTAGAATGAGAAATAATTAAAATTATCTATTATATTCATTAGTTAGCCTTTTAATGTTTTTCAATTTTCAATTTTTTTTCTTTTAATTATTTATAAAAAAACCTCATTTTAATTAATAAAGTATAAACGAAGATAGACGTTCTATATTAAAAAAAAAAGTTTAACTGTCCCTGAACAATTGTATCAATCGCTGAGAAATTAATAATTACGTGTAACGCATTGTTAATTAAACGAATTGAATTTTTTCCGTTTTAATAAACTCTCTCTCTCTCTTTATAACTAATAACACGGTATCATTGAGTTTCTTACGAGAAATATCCAAGAGAGCACAAATTTACATTAAACATATGACACCTTTTGTTGGCATGATTAACTACATTTTATCAGTAAATAGATGAAGCAAATATTCATGTGAACAATACATAAAATGGTATTTAGGGTGAGAGAACCAATGTAATGCATTTTTAAAAAAAAAAAACGAGATTTTTGCAAGTTTTAGACCTCCCTGAGTCGGAAAAACATAGTTTTGCAATCTCGTCCGTATGTCTGTGTGTGTATGTGTGTGTGTCTGTGAACACGATAACTTGAGTACCGATATAGCTAGGTTGATAGAATTTCATATACAATATTATATCAAATGTGTAGTTTTTTATTAACTTTTCAGCGATTTCCAGTAACCGGAAGTGGAACTTATTCTATTTTCAACTTGAGTACTATTTCAAATAGATAAATGAAATTTCGCAAGTAAGTAAAAGGTCTAATTCTCTGCATTTTTCGAATTTTGAGTATTTTCCGTCGAACGGAAGTAGTAATTTACGCTATTTCCGATTAAAAAAAAAACACATGTGAATTTATAAAGTACTAATAATATTCCGCACTATTATACACAGATTGTTTGGCGTTCAATTGGTGAGCAATTCTTGTTTCAACGAGATTCTTTTCTATTTTAACAAGTTTAAGTAATTAAAAATGGATTAAAAATCATATCTATATTCTGAAGTGCCATCCTCCGTAGTGTTATATAAAAATATTCGAGAAAGTTTAGGGGAGATGAATCCCGCTTTATTAAAATATATGCCTGATTCATTAGTTTGAAGTGGAACTCTCGAGAAAATTATATTTAACAGAAAACTCAGGAAACGGTAATATAAGAAATGGACAACTGTGTTTAAATAAGATATTACCCAAGCTAATGATATGACAGTCCAAATCATTCACCAAACACTTGACTGTATTTATAAACTTATTTTACTCACGATATTGACAAGACGGACCAAACCATTCACTTAAACAACTGGTACCATCATCACAAGTTCCATCAGGTAAACATTTCTTGTCGGTACATCGACACAGAAACTGTTGGTTGCTGCCAAACCACAGGTCGGCTCCAGCTGTAAAGGATAAATCTTTTCATTAGAGAGATTCTAGTATTTCAGTTATTGGCTGGATTTTAGGTAATTTTTTTTATATGTATTTATTGCAACACCAGATTTACAGCGAGTCAGAAGATTAGGGGGTTAGGGGACAAATGATCTCAGACAAATTATCTTACTGCAAAAGCTTATTTAGAATTGTTTAAAAACAAAACACCAAAGATGATAAATCGTTTTGGCATATTACTAACCATTTCTCAATTGCTTTTTCAATTGCTATTTGTAAAATTATACAAACACTTTAAATAATAATGATACCCAGACTGAAACTGATGACCTTATCACTTTATTGTTCACTTCATTTTATCAGTAATTTAATATAGTAAACTTTCATCTTTTTAATTTTCAATGTTAAATTAGTTCTTTGTTTACGTTTTTTAAAAAAATAAATTAAATCCATATAAAGTATAACTGTTCTTGATTTTATTTATTTATTTAGTAATAAAAATCTGCTTACAACATCAAATGTCAATCGTTTACAAATGTTCACAACTCTTATCGCACACTGTAGGTATTTTACCGTGAGATATTTCGTCGGGTATATTTTGTCCATGGTATGTTTTTTGTCCTGGTATATTTTGTCCTATGATTTTTTGTCTGAAATATTTTGTCCTTGAGATAATGTGTCCTTATATATTTGTCTGGGATATGTTGTCGGAAGTCAATTGTCCTGAAATCAATTTTTAACGAAACGCCTTTTGCCGAAGGTCATTTGTTTAACGAACCTTTGTCGTTGACTCGCTTATCAACATATCATTTGCTACCCCTTTTATATGTGGTAGATATAGATATTTAGTGTAGTAATTTCTTTAAACACATTTTTTATAAATACATACCAGTTTCCGTAAATAACTGGAAAATTAACCAACGATACCAACGTTCTATGAAATATAACAAACATGCCTGTAATAAAGAAAAAAACAACAACTTTGTTCTGGGAGGCTTATTCGCGTTTACAAGCAACCCCATTACTAGTGTATGTGTTTACTGTAACTCTTTGAGAACTATTAACTGGATCACTAACATAATAATACATATCCAGGCAGTGGCGTAGGCAGGGGGGGGGGGGGGGTTAGGGGGGTCAAAACCCCTCATAGACCCCTCGGTACATATATATAAAGTTTGAGGGGGGTGTAAATTGAAAGTTTGTCCCCGGGATATATATTGCTGGAAAAAAAAATTGAACCGCCCCCCATGAGACAATCCTGGCTACGCTACTGTATCCAGCAAATAAAATTTATCCATAGAATATGCTATTTTTTATGATCAATTTTTAAAAATCATCATGAAATTACAAGGCTACAAAAAATAACTTCTTGGAAATGACGATCTATATCGAAGTTTCCACAAATTTGCTGAGTAACTCTCATCTGCTCACAACCTTTGATACAAATTGGTTTTATATATTACTTGTTTTGTAATGAGAGTTGTAAGTTCCAAACATCCGTTTTATAAAGCAGCGTTAAGTAGAAATGCTGAAAGCCCGATTTATACAACATACTAAGATCTATGCACAATAGTAAATATTATCATAATATAAACATTATACTAAAATACCTAAGATTCTTGCTGGATCTAAATGACTAAACAATTTACTGTTGATAAAAGATAATTGGCCTACAATAATTGCGTCACTTTTAAAAAATGTTTACCCACAAATGAACATATTTTGTTAAGTAAGGGAGATAAAGTATAATTAAAGTATAATTGAAAGTAATTATTTATTTGCATCTTTTAAAATAAGATACACACTCTTTAATTTGAAATTAATGCACTTAAAATAGCAAATTATTAGATGGAAGGGAAAATTTGTTTAAGAACCTTATTCATTTATTCAAACATAATTTAATAGCCTGTATTTACTATCTCGAAACCATAATTTTATTTAATACTGAAAACAACAGTATAAAAGCTTTTCCAATCGATCAACATTTGGGAAACTCTATATTAGGACGCTTATATATCAGACTCTATAACAGACGCTTATATTAGGGTTGTTCGATGAAACATTAAATACAGACCAAACACATCATGGCAGATGTTTTGCCTCCATTGTATATTCTGATTTGCCTAATTAAACTTCCTAGCTGAGAAATGTATAACGCGTTGATCCATAGGTCAACTTGTTTTATTGACTAAAATAAATAGAACGTATAGTGCTTCAAAATGAAAAGAACAGCACATATAAAACACTGATGCACAGTTATACATTTGACTATTGAATTGCATTTGTTTAAATTAACTGTAGAAATTAATGTTAATCTTTAACACAGAAACATGTAAATATCACAAAAACTTTTTATAATTAAAAATAGCTGACCTAAATTGAAACCGGTAATTTCTCCATAACATACGACGCAACCTTGCCAAGCCACATTTGCTCCATTAAAACATTGTGGGCGACAATTTTTGACAGAATATAATATCCGCCACCCACCTTCCAAATACTTGCATTTGAAGTTATTCCCCTTCCTGAGAGGAAGCATAAAACTGGTTTATGTTGCGTGTAGACTGTCGCTGCTACACACAAGCGTGTCGGTCAATGAAGCATAACCCATTCCTGTTCAATTGCAATATCGTACAGTATGATTGAACACAGGTAAAATGTGTTGTGTTAAACACTGGTGAATGTATATGTTTAGTGAAGTAAATGTATATCTATAATCATTAGAGTTAAATACTGCTATATTATAACGGTGTTTAATTACTTAGAGGTGCATTTGTAATGTTTTCAATTAAATATCGGAGCATTTATGATTTAAATTGAACACGAGTATATTTCTGACGAGTTGACTTCATCTCATTGCTGTTTTCCGTGAAGTATTCAATGTAGCATTGCACAGTTAAACACTTTACTTAACTATTGCACTGCTTAGCTCAACACATTACTTGTCGTTAATTTTCCATGTAATGAGCTACAATTTTAACTGCTGTAATGTAACCAATCTATCAGCATTTGGTAATGGCAGGAAACAGTTGTTTACAAGAAACGTTTTACAACGTAAATACATTTTGTAGTAACACCAAAATACTAAGTGCTCGACCATTTATATGTTGACAATTTAGTCTAACCCCAACACCATGGATCGTCAATTAGCGTCACCATTAAAAATGATACCAAAGGGAAATCACTAGGTTGTTACAGGAAACTTTATGTACTAACAGATATCGTTGTAAAACAGTGTTTTGACTAGTTGGTTCTTCTATTGATTGCACGTTTTTTTTCCCACAAAATAAGGCCATAGTATTCAATCAGTGACGGTGTACCCCACATAAGGAAGTTATGGTGAAGATCAAGTTTTGTTTACAAAAATATAACAAAACATTAAAAGACGGCGGATATGGGATGGATCGGGTGAATCAGCATGCGATAGTTGAAACTATCTTTTACTGTTAACAAATATATTGGGAAGATAGTGATGGAGTGTAAAATTGTAATAACCATCTATATCTATCTATCTATATACTACTAAAACTCAAGTTTGTTTACCTGTTTGAATATTTATTTTTTTGTTTGTCTGATTGATTATTGTAAATGGTTCTACTCATTGTGGAGAGCTGTAAAATAGTATGTGTGTACAGAACAATTTTTCTTTTCAGACAGACTGTTAATCACACATTTATTTAAAGACGTTAATTAATTTATTGATTTATTCATAGGTAGATTAACCACTTTTTTTTAAAAAAAGATTAGTAAAACCACTGGACTCGACGGAACCGTGACGTCACAGTTTTTGTTTACTTTTTAGTACAATAAAATGGCGGCTTCCATCATAGGCCCATTCAAAAGTTTAACGCGTTCTAAATCTAATTTTCTGTCGGCCATAACCTTAACAATTCGTCCGTTTGCTGTTTTTATTACGTCCAACACTTATATAAATTTTCAACTGTCTTTTTTATTTAGTTTTACAATAAATTTCTCTACAATCTGACCAAGAAAGTTATTTATAGATCTAAAAATATCATGTGGCCAAGCAAGTTATTTATAGATCTAGATCTAGAATCTAGGTCAAACAAAAGATTAGTTAGATACATACCAAAGATTAATTAAATAAAAATACAATCCATTTTATAATCATGATACATTTTTAGTCCTTAAATACTTGATATAAATCTGTGTGATTTATCTATCTAGATCTAGATCTAGATTCTAGATCTAGAATATCTAGATCTAGATCTAGCAAGAGTTACGCAAATACTAGATTCTAGACTTAAGCAAACGAGTCGTAGAATCTAGATCTAGATCTAGATAATGCTATCTAGATCTAGATAATTTCAGACCTTCTTTATTTTATATAAATCTTTGTTTGGCTAATTTAAGATAAAATTTAATTTGAAAGTTACTACTACTAGACATAGATCTAGATCTATGCGCGTAAATCAAGTTGCATAAGGAGACTCAAAGTATTAAAGTATAGTATAAAAATTCTTCTGTGACGTCACGAGTAAATAGCTAAGTTGTTAGTGTAATCGGCTTTCCTGCGGGTGGCACAGATTCTAGACCAATACGTCCATGATACATTTTTTTTCAATTATTATTTTATTTTTTAGATGTGAATGATAAAGTTGCCTATCTGAACTTGGCAGGTGAAGTAGAGTTCATCTGTTTCTTTGTCCTAAGCATATGAAGGGATAGTGTGGTCAGAGACATGCTCAGCTGGAATCGTTTTTTAAACGATAAAAGCATGTTGTCTGAGACTTGGCGGGACACTGGGCAGGTGAAGTAGAGCTGAGTAGGTTAACTGTGACGTCAGTATATGAAGGGATAGTCCGAAATCGGTGTTTTCGGTGTTTTTAAAAGATAAAAAACATATTTTTGAAAGTGGGGTCTGTTTTTCTGTGACGATAAGTGACACTGCAGTAGCGTAGCGAGGGGGAGGGGGGGGCGGGGGCGACATATGTCCCCGGGCGCCGACCTTAGGGGGCGCCAAAATGGGTTGGAAAAATAAATTGAAAGGTTGAGGGGGGTGCAAATTGAAAGTTTGAGGGGGGGGGGGGTGCTAATCGAAATCTTGAGGGGGGGGGGGGGCGCACATCAAGTTTGAGGGGGGGGGGTTGCAAATCAAAATCTTGCGGGGGGTGGGGTTATCTACGCCTCTGAGTGACAGACGTGATGGTTTTTGATGGATGACCCCCGAAACCCACAGTTATCCAACGGAAGACGGGTAGTCTAGTATACTACTAAAACTCAAGTTTGTTAACATGTTTTAATATTTATTTGTTTGTTTGTTTTTTTGTCCGATTGAATACTGGAGAAAATAGGCGCTAGGTGGAGAGCTGTATAATAGTATGTAGGTAGAGAAATTTTTTTGTTTTCAGACAGACTGTTAATCACACATTTATTTACAGACGTTTATTAATTTATTGATTTATTCAATGGTAGATTAACCACATTAGTTTTAAAGTTTTAGAACAATGGCTTAACTTTGACTGAATAGTGACGTTTTATAACTCATTTTTTTGTTTGTTTGTTTGTTTGATTTGATATTGGGGAGAATCTGCATTATGTGTAGAGCTGTAAAATAAGATTTTGGGTGGTAAATATTGTACTTTCTCAAACACACCTTAAATTAAAAACTAATTTAAAGCCGTTAATTAATTTATTGATATATTTATTGGTAGATTAACCACATTCATTATAAAAGTTTAGAACAATTACTTTAGTAATAGTAAAAAGATTTTTTTCTACAACAATGTTTTCAATTATTTTTTTCTTAAGGCCTATGTGTGAATGATAAGGTTGACTATCGGGACCTCGCGGGGCACAGGGCAGGTGAAGTAGAGTTGACCTGTTTCTATGTTCTCAGCATAGGAAGGGATAGTGTGTCCGGAATGTTTTTTTTTAAATATAAAAACATGTCTGAGACTTGGCGGGACACTGGGCAGGTGAAGTAGAGTTAAATAGAGTTTTTAAAATATAAAAAACGTCTTTTTGAATGTGGGGTCTGGTTATTTTGGGATGATAAGTGCTGACAGACGTGATGTCATTTATGGATGAGCCCCCGAAACCCATAGTTATCTAACTAGATAACGGGTAGTCTAGTACAATTTAAAGTATGATGTATATTAACGGGAGATGGGGCAGCGCTTAAATTGAAATAGAAAGCTATCAGTGGCAGTCTTTCGATAGTTGGTCAACCGTGAAGACTAAACTAGCGTACATTTTAAAATGTCTGATTACGTTTTTACTTTCTCGTATATACGAAGTATAGAGAAAGTCTTGTAATCGTGCAAAAAAAAAAATCGAGATTTTTACAAATCTCGACGTTTTACACCTCACTGATACGGAAAAACATAATTTTGCAATCTTGTCCGTATGTCTGTGTGTCTGTGTGTCTGTCTGTGTGTGTGTGTGTTTGTGTGTCCGTGTGTACACACGATAACTTGAGTACCGTTACAGCTAGGTTGATGAAATTTCATATATAAGTATTTTATCAAAATCGTAGATCCTGATCAACTTTTGAGCGATTTCCAATAAGCGGAAGTAGTACTTTTCCTACTTCGAATTTTTCAAAAGCCTATAACTTGAGTACTCTTTCAGATAGATACATGAAATTTCACATCTAAGTTAAAGATCTAATCGTCTACCTTCTGTTAAATTTTGAGTAATTTCAGTTGACCGGAAGTAGTAATTTACGCTACTTCCGATTTCTCAAAAAACTAATGTAAATTTTTAAAGTACTAATAATATTGCGCACTATTATGCACTTTTTTATTTGGCGTTCACTTGGTGTACAATTAATTTGTCTACGAGATTTTATTCTATTTTTAAAACTTTAAGTATTTAAAATGGATAAAAAATCATGTCTATAGCCCGAGTTCCCATCCCCTGTTATTTTATATAAGAATATTCGAGAAAGTTTAGGGGAGATCACTCCCGGTTTATTTCTCTTTAAATTATCTTTTCAGCGAGTTATTGGAATAATTCAAAGAGTGTGAATAACAATTCTTTAAATTAGCATGATCTGCGTCTAAGTAGATTTAGTCAAATAATCTGTACAACTAGCAGCTACTATACTTCGAGATAGTGTTGACTTTGCTGACTGTGTAACCACACTGGGTTGAATACTGATCCGAATGTTATTGGCTATTCTCTACACATAGGTTTGTGTGGCCGTCAAGCTTCAATACAAAGTTAAGCAAGCCAAGGGTGTAATGTAGATACGTCGTGATACACTTACACTGCTCGGCCTCTGTCATGCGCGAATATTTTTTGAGCGTCACGCTCCGGTACACAGGAACACCTCTCAATAGAGAGACATACGAGTTATATATAGGGTAAGCCGGGGTAATTCCACACACGGGGTAATTCCACACACCATATACTGAATACTCTCTAGTTTCAATGGGAGTAAAGTTTAATTAAAAGTTACAATTCCCTGTTTCTAAGAGGTCATTTCTTGTACTTTCTGATACTGTTAAAGAAGCGTTCATCTACAATCAGAGCAAGAATTTTAATTTTATCTGCATCTATCTTCAAATATACTTACGTAAGTACAACCCCTGCACTTTTTTAAAAATAGTTTATTTTGTCTTTTTTTTAATTGTTGTCAATTATTTATTGATTTTATGAAAGATTATTCATTTTTGTTAATAGTAACAGTTAATGATGCTAGATTCAGCCTTTAATTTAGAACAGGAAAGCATATTTTTTCAATAGTAGGTGTGGGGCAATTCCACACACACGGTGTGGGGCAATTCCATACACTATAGTTTGGAATGTCCCATGTTGCTTTTTATACTCTTTAGAGGGTTTAGTTATTATTTTAAACCCTTTAAACTGGTTGTGGCTAATTCTGTAATTCACAACTCATGATTTAATCTTAAAAAATACTTAAATAGTACTAGATCTAGTACTATTTATTTTTAAAAAGAATGCTATTAAAGTTAAGTAAAATTGCCATAGACTTCTTTTATTTCTTTATCTATTATTATTTTTACTGTGCCTATATTATTTATTATAATTTATGCAATATTTAGAGCTAAACATCCCCATACACACATTAGTAATTAGACTTTCTAACATTTAATTTTGTTTTTATTTCAGAATGGTTTACAGTTATAAACGAATAACTTCGGCCTATGACAGATGAGAGTAGAATTCAGGAGGAAGAAATTGAGGCTTTCTCTTCACCCAGTGATGAAGACTGGTTCCCCCATGCAAAATTGTTTCCAAGGGGAAAAATGTTTTTTTACAAATTTTTAAAAACATGAATTTTAAAATTTTCAAAATGTGTGTGGAAAAGCCCCACTTGCCATGTTTTTGTAATAAAAGTGAAATATTTAAAAATTGTATTTTGTTTTATGAATTATCTCTATATTTGTTTGCCATCATATAAGTAATACATGTCCAGTTATACACTCAATATTATATTGTGGTAGTGTTAATTTTAGATTTTTTACAATTTTTTTAGAAAAGTAGTGTATGGAACTACCCCGGGTTACCCTACCTCACAAGGTGATTAAATCAAAAACTTGAAAGTCCAGAGGGCGAGACAAGGAAGCTATTTGCCTGTTTTTGTAGGCGGCACGGAGTATATCATGGATCTATATGAGAATAATTTTAACTCCAAAAAATATCATTATTTCTAATAATGAATATCAAAGTAAAAATATGTATCGTTGTACTGGCCAGCTTTGATTTTAGAATTATATCCGGTAAGTCTTAAGGATATATATATATATATATATATATATATATATATATATATATATATATATATATATATATATATATATATATATATATATATATATAAATATAAATATATGTATATATATATATATATATATATATATATATATATATATATATATATATATATATATATATATATATATATATATATATGTCTGTGTGAATAAATAATATTTTAGTGTACATCCCTGATGGTAACTTGTCATGCTAAATTCTACATTTTTAACACTAGATTATGTGCACAGCTTCAACATGTTCTTTTTAAATGCACAAGTTACACAATTTTAAAATTAAAATAACCAAGTAAAAACATATTATTTGTTAGATAGTCGAAATTTAGTAAAAAGAAACACAATAACATTGGTAATAGTGGCTATGTAAAATTATTTAATTTGGAGTTATATTTCTAATTACAAGATATTTATATTCGTAATTACTAATAGCTAAACAGATTAGCTTAAAATAAATCAATGCTACTAATACCTCTGACTTTTAATATCACATGGTTGAGGGTTGTTGTGAATATAGGACAACAGTATAGACGTGAAGATTATACTTAAAAGTAACAGACAACTTCTATAAAAAACAAACTTTCAGATTCTGACTGTGATCCCGGCAAGTTTGGGTTAGAATGTGAGAAGACTTGTAACTGTGCTACAGACGAGGCTTGTTTTGTTGCTACTGGAGGATGTCCTTCTGGCTGTAAGGCTGGGTACTATGGGGAGGCTTGTGATAAGGGTAAATACTTTTAACGTTAAACTTCATATAATTTATGTTTTACATGTTCTGGAATGACAAAATGAATCAAATGACCCTCGCAATGACTTATAATCTTTCAAAAGATCACTTCACTTTTGTTGTACCACATGTGTAGCCAATCTTGCCCAGAGGCGTAGCTAGGGGGGGGGCGGGGGGGGGGGGGGGCGGCCGCCCCGGGCGCCGACCCTATGGGGGCGCCAAAAGGGGTGGGAAAAATTTTTTAAAGCTGATTTTATGCTGCAGTTTTGAATTATAAACTGTCTAAGTTAAGAAATGTAATGGCTACACGCCTTTACATACTGATTTAACTGTTTTCTACCTTGATTTCTTAATGTAAAACATATACTCTTAAGAAACAGTAACCGGCAAAACCGCTTTGAAGCTTTTCCTAGATGGGGGGGGGGGGGGCGCTTTTTCGAGACTTAAAACGGAAGAATTTACACTAGATTGTTGAGTCGATAAACGTTACCGCTATTAAAAGAAACCAATTGTATTAAAACGTATTGTACGATTGTTGAACTGTAAAATACGTTAGTGACTTTTATCAAGATGGTGCAGGGGGGGGGGCGCTTTTAGGCCAAATAGAATAGCAAAATTACACAGGATTCTGAATAAACAACCTTTAGCTCTCAGAAAGAAACGAATTGTACTGTGCATTGTATAATTGTGTAAAATTTTTAAAAAAAGTTAGTTACGTTAAAAACCGCTCTACAAACTTTGTCCAAGATGGTTGTGATGAGTGTGTGTGGGGGGCGCTTTTTTCGCTAACAAAAATCGCAAGTATTTGTACTGGATTGGTGAGTAGATAACTCTCTTAACACTTAGTAAAGAAACCAAGTGTATTAACGCGTAATGTACAATTTCAATAGCCAGTTTTGTTTAAAAAAAAGACGCGACTAGTTCTTTGTAAGATTCTTACGATTCTCTCAACTTCAACGTGAGAGATCAGATACTTTTGATTGATTGCATTACATCTTACCTGGATCACTGAACTATATTAAAGAGAACTAAATATCACGGATTCTTGAATCCCTAAGCCACTAACCACCACTTTTTTCCATGCTCTTATTTCATTCTCCACTGTCTGTAATCTAGCTCCAAGCCATACAGTAAAAGAGACCACATTTAGTTATAGATCCTGATTGAATTTTTTTGACAATGCATTTGAATTCTACATTTTCTTAGAGTGTTAAAACGCATTTTATTGCTGCTGATTATAATCAGAACGTCATGGGCTATCATTAAATTGATTGTTACTGCTTCTTCAATCAATACAATTAGTTCTGCATTTGTTGTTGACGTTGTGCGAGCAGTGTTTCTTCCAGACTTTTTTCTCCGGGGGGGCACTTGAAATTTTCGAGGGGGGGCGGTAGACTTTCTTCGGGGGGGGGGGGGGGGAGGCGGACACTGTTAAACGTATATATTTTCTATATATAAATTATATAAATTTCATTTCGTTCGAGGGTGGGGCGGTAAAAAATTTTCGGGGGGCTTTGCCCCCCCCCCCCCGAAGAGATGCCTGAAAGAAACTCTGTGTGCGAGAAGGCAGGGCAAATCTGCGAAATCCAAGACTACGAGCTGTTAACATCCGTTGGATTCCAGTTTGTTTTCTCTAGCTTGTTTTGTCATACCATCAACCAATCAACGAAATACCCATGTCGTATTCCAATGTGAACAATAAATATTTCTGATAACTTCTTCTTGTATGTCACTTGTGTGTCCTTACTCTAACAAACTTCGAATCCAACTATGTACCATATCACAACAGAGATCGTTCCAAAACTAGAACATAAAAGGCTGGTCTAAACATATTAGCGTTAGCTACAAACTACCCTCTAACACAGATCAGGCTTATTTTTTTTTACTCACATTACTAATCTTTCGCAAAAAAAATTAAACGCATCTTAATGGGAATTAAATTGTCGTAAAGTTTTAAGGAATGAAAATCATACAATGTAATTATTAAACCTTGTCCGGACTGTAGCATACACGCTTACACACACGCTTACACACAAATACACTCTTACCCACACACAAGCTTATATATAAACACACTATCACACACACATAATTATACACACACACACACACACATATATATATATATATATATATATATATATATATATATATATATATATATATATATATATATAAGCGGGGGGGGGGGGCGCCAAATTGAAAGTTCGCCCCGGGCGCCGGGAAGGGTCGCTACGCCTCTGATCTTGCCCCCCACATTGAGATTAATTCAAAATTATTTTAAACAAAAATTATAATCATTTTCTAACTCTCTTTTAACATTTGTTGAATACACCTTTATTGTGTTGAGAGGTCACATATATAATGATTCAGTTTGAAATGTTTACAATTACACTCTAATTAAGGACATACACATTTAGCAGGTGTCTTTGAGATGCTACATTAAAAACTGTATTTTTGATCTCGCTGTGATCAGCCTGTGAGCCTCACACCTGGGGCATCAGCTGTAACCAAAGCTGTAATGACCGTTGTATAGACAACACCTGTAACAGGTTTAATGGAGACTGTGATAAAGGATGTAAAGACGCTCATCAGCCGCCGGCTTGTACACAGGGTATTTTGGGTTCTACATTTTATCCGCCTGTCTAGCAGAGTGTTTCTGTATTACATCTACGTTTTTAGTTCTGTCTAAAGGATATTGAGTAGCCTAAATAAACACTATCATGTGAAAATGTAAGCACATATGTTATGCTATAATACAATATTAAACTAATATCTAGTATCATTTTTCAAATCAATTTAATCCAAGAAATATTTTAAAAACCTTAAATTAGCTTGCCATGAGACGTTTTACGGCAGTAATTGTTCACAAAGATGTAGTCCCAACTGTACCGATAGCCTATGTCATCCTGTCAATGGTCATTGTTTGTCTTGTATAGCCGGCAGACAGAGGTTATTTTGTGACCAACGTAAGTTTTATAAATTATATTATTTAGCATACCATTTAAACTGGTGTTAATCTCCAAAAATATTTTTACTTAAAAATTCATACCCCAACGAAAATTATGGTAATTAATAACTTTAAGCCTACGTTTATAGCCGACAATGGTCAGATATATTTTAGCAATAGGTTTTCAATCACTTTGCTGCAACTTGAACTGCATACATTTATTTTAATACATTTTAACAGTTCAACGACGACTGTTAGAAACAGCCGATCCTACACTATTCTCAACGACACTGTCGTTGAGTGGCTTATCAACAGTGTCGGTATATAATAACGCTATAGATTTTTTCTCATTTGATTCTGTCGTTGAGAATCTAATTATAGTTATAAACTGTAAAAACTAGCTAACGGAATAAAACCATTTCGATTAATTAATCGCTTAAAAAATATTTAATATAAGAAAAATTAAACAACCATTCATTTTACAGAGCTAATAATAATTAATATTATAAAAAATGTCTTTAAAAATTGAAAATTAAATTATTTTTAGCAATATAAATTAATACAGTGGATTGCTGAATTTAATTGTGATCATAGTTATGATTAATTTTAGAGATTGTATGATTAATTTATACACGATTTAGAATTACAGAATATTGATTATTCGGTATAGAAAACATTAGGGTAGAGATTACTAAACGATATAATATAGGATTATGTAATATAGAATATATTAGTATATTATTATAGAATCTAGGCTATACAACAAGTAATACATGATATGATTGCAAAATAGAAAAAATACATAATATAAAGGCCCATTTTTTAATCGAATTTAAAACTCATTTCGTTTACAATATGTTATTACAAATATAAAATTGCAGAATACGTAATAGCTATTTTTATCGAATTTATACATAGAATGTGCTATATAATCTTAAGAACATGATTATGTAGTGGCGTAGGTACAAGGTGTGCCAAGGGGCTATACCCCCCCCCGATATATATATATATATATATATATATATACATATACATATACATATACATATTTACTGTACTCAAGTAGTACCCCTAACCAGAGGCGTCACAAGGTTGGGGGGCGGGGCTGAGGACTGCGCAAGGTGGCAAAATTTCGGGGGTGACACCATGGCGAAAAATAGCAAAATATATAGAAGAAGTATGCATTTTGCCAGTTCAATAAATGACTAATGAGAGTTAACTGTACTAATAACTGACTGCAGATAAAAAAAATATACAATTAACTGTGCACGTTTAAAAACTATCACCCAGGGGGGGGGGGGGGGGTGAGGGGAGATGACACAAACTGCAAAATGTACAGGTGAATACATGCTTGTTGAATTTTTGGATAATAGATTAGCTAAGCGACGACCGGAGAGAGGCTGATACCAAAATCTAATCATTTACGATGAAAACGATGCTTTTTTTCACATGAATTAATAGGTGGATTATGTGCTAAATTTGACGCCATTGGGGAAAATGGGAAGTCACCAAATGTAGCTATATATATATATATATATATATATATATATATATATATATATATATATATATATATATATATATATATATATATATATATATATATATATATATGCATATGTAGAATTATTTATATTTCTCTCTATGTATATATATAATGAAGTTTTGCTTGTTTGTTTGTGGGTTTGTTTATGTCCTCTATGCAGCACTACACCTTTCATCCTATGGCCATGCAACTTAAGTTAAGAATACCACTGGATATATTTCACAAGCACGGTGCCCCAGCAGGGCGCGAATCGATTCTTCCCTATATAGGGTATATATAAGTAAAAGTAGATTGCGGTTTAATCCCGTTCATCCGCTCGCCATAAAACTTCAGGGGAGGTTATTTTTTTTTATTTTAACAGGGCGGCGCTCCTGGAGGGTGCAATTTTTCTCTAAACAGTTTGTAAAAAACAAAACGGATGCTGTTTGACATCGTTTATCTGAGTGCCGTTAAACTTTCGAGAGTTAATGAAAACACTCACGAGAAGGTTTCTGCGAAAACAAAAATTAAAATTTATTATGGGCGTTTCCCTGGAGGGTGCGATTTTTGTTAATAAACGGCTTGGCGCCTGAAAATCCAGGACGGCGATATTAAAACTGCATGGGGGCTAAGGTAAAAAAGCAACAACAGGCGCAGCCGCCGGCGCCCCGGATATTACGTAACCCGAAGCGCCCCGTGCTACCATGTGAACACTATGACGCCTACGTTTTTTTTTTTTTTAATTTATACACTAAAGACACGATGGGCAACAATAATTTTTGACTATATGGAATCAGGCGCGTCTGCCGGCGCCCCGGCAGGATGCGATTTGGCGCCCTGGGATATCCTAAGGTTGTGTTAAAGAGCACTCTACAATATTGACCCTGTGGCAGACGACATTCCATGACAATTCGTTTGACCCGGTGCGCCACTGGCTTCGGGAGGAACACTATGAGTTTTAAAAGAGCGCCCTACAGTAGGGAAATTTTTTGTCTACTGCACCACTGGCGTGTGGTCTAGCGCCCCTGTGTGGGTCCCCCATAAACACTATTGCGCCTACGTTCGTTTTAAAGAGTGCGATACATTATGGATACAATGGACTACTGTGTGCGGTAGAATTTGCGCCTCAACAACTATGATGAAAGCAATATAACACCGGCTTTGATTACATTTAAATTATTTGGATTTAGAAATCAATGTCAAGCGTAAAAAAATACGTGATTGCTAATGTAATTATGGAATCCTCTTAAAATATTGCGTCAGTCTGTCTTCTGAGACCGCAGCAACGCGCGGGACGGGTACGCTGGTTTAATATATATTTCTTCTATATAAATAATTCTCTTCATGGATACCATAGAAAACACCAAGCTGTAAGCGCTCAGCAGCCCCCTCTTTTTCTCTCTATCCCTACCACCCCCATCCCTACATGGTCTGGTGAGCTGTGGTTCAAGCTAAATGATTACAATCGTAGAGCCGGGTTTAGTGACAGCTATTAGGGGCAGATAATTTAAACTTAGTGGAGGTAACTCAGAGGGGGCTGCTTTCACGAGGAGGGGGGGTAGGATTTTTGGGAAAGGAGGGTGGGGAGGGGGGGGGGTTATCGTCCTTAACGAGCTACTGATAGTGTTTTAAAGCAAATATTTTCAGTGGCAGCATTGTTACTGTCGAATTCACAAATTATGAATTACTGAAAAGTAGAAAATGAAACAACTAAATAGCGGCGTATGATAGCGGCTCGTAAAATATAAAACACAATGTAAATACCTTTGTTATACCTACGGAAAATAATAATATGTAACATGGATTCCTGAAATTTTGCGCTGCTTTAATTTTTAACGTTGGGATCCTCCATCAACATCCATACTCTCCTTTAGTATGTTCAGGCTTTTTTTTTTTTCATTTATGGGAAGGGATGATCGGAAAGTGTGACGACAAATTTTTGCTTTCATCCGTTATTTCGGGCTTTAAAAGATTGCTTTTGGTATTAATTCATTTATTAACTCAATGTTTATCGAGGTCAGTACATATTATAATAAACCGGGAGTGATCTCCCCTAAACTTTCTCGAATATTCTAATATAACACTACGGGGAATGGCAACTCGGGATATAGACATGATTTTTAATCCATTTTAAATACTTAAACTTTTTAAAATAGAATAAAACCTCGTAGAAAAAAGAATTGCACACCAAGTGAACGTCAAATAAAGATGTGCATAATAGTGCGCAACATTATTAGTACTTTATAAATTTACGTGCGTTTTTTGATAAATCGGAAATAGCGTAAATTAGTACTTCCTGTCAACGGAAATTACTCAAACTTTGACAGAAGGTAGAGAATTAGATTTTTTACTTACATGTGAAATTTCATTTATCTATCTGAAATAGTACTCAAGTTATAGGCTTTTGAAAAATTCAAAGTAGAAAAAGTACCACTTTCGGTTATCGGAAATCACTCAAAAGTTTATACGGATCTACGATTTTGATAAAATACTTATATATGAAATTTCATCAACCTAGCTGTAACGGTACTCAAGTAATCGTGTTTACACACAGACACACACAGACACAGACATACGGACAAGATTGCAAAATTATGTTTTTCCGTATCAGTGAGGTGTAAAACGTCGAGATTTGTAAAAAAATCACGAATTTTTTTTTTTGCACGATTACAAGACTTTCTCTATACTTCGTATATACGAGAAAGTAAAAATGCAGTTTCAGGGGAACGGCGGAGGGGGTTATGTGTTGAGGTGTGGTGTTTTTAAAGAGAGTGGTGGGGGGGGGGGGAAGCGAAGATCTGGCTTTTTGTGAAAATGTGTTACAATTAGAGAAGGGGGGTTGGGTGCAAAATCGTCTGAAGAGTGAGTCGTCGTTAATGGGTGACCACTTTATGATTGTATATTGACGTCACCATCATTTTGGGCGGTGGCTTTATGTGACGATATGTAACGAGAAAAAAGAGGGTTGAGTTAATGGCGTAGCATTTATTTTGCATTTTTTAAGGATACAAATAATAAAAACACTGCTTATTTTGTTTTACATGTGTGACGACATTGTGTTAACCAAATGTATTGAATAGTATGACTTACAGATTATTAATTCTCTCCCCCCCTGAAGCAATTACCACCTGTCATTTACCCCCCCCCCCCCGCCAAGGAGGACATCCCCCCCCCCCCCACGCACACACCTCTTAAGGTACAGCTGGGGTTAGGGTTATGGTTAGGGTTACGGCTAGGGTTAGGGTTTGGGTTAGCGTTAGGGCTAGGGTTAGAGTTAGGGTTAGCGTTCTGGCTAAGGTTAGGATTATGGTTAGGGTTACGGCTAGGGTTAGGGTTAGCGTTAGCGCTAGGGTTAGAGTTAGGGCTAGGGTTAGAGTTAGGGCTAGAGTTAGGGTTAGCGTTCGGGCTAAGGTTAGGGTTAGCGTTAGGGCTAAGGTTAGGGCTAGGGTTAGATTCAGAATTAGAGTTAGTGTTATGGTCAGGGTTAGGATTAA